TAATATAATAAAAAAAATATTAAAAAATGAAGTAATTGTAAATCTTATACTACCAATCAGAAATAGAATTAGTTTTTCTATTATAACCTCATGGATGTAGAAAAATGAATTATTTAGGCTGACTCTGTTGCAAAGTACTCATGTTCCCACTCCTTAAGAAACAAATACTTACCTAAATTTTGAATGTCGTTAAGGGCTACTGTTGCAGACGGTCACTGTTTATTACTGCCAGTGGTGCCAATCCTTAGTTGTTATTTTATTTTATTCCAGTATTTCTCCTACCTTTACATTTACTCCTGTTTTTATCTTTTTTTTTTTTTACACTTTGAAAACTCCAACTCTTTTAAGCAGAATTTTCACTTTCTTTCACTTGACTAACTCACTTTTATGTCTGGATGGTTTCTGGTTTCTTCTTATCGTTTTTTAATTGAGGTGATTTAAAACTGGGCCCAAAATTCTAACAAAGGCTTTTCAGACCTCTTCTTTAGCCAGGTTGAAACTTAGGCTGAATTATTTTTCTGGTGGAGCCAGAATTTGTACTTTTATGGTACATAGACTTTTGTTGCCATCATGTTCATTGAATAGGAAATATGCTGGTGTGTTTTGGGAGAGGATTTTTCACCACGAAGTGTCTGCTCTTTTTATCAAGCTGTTCACAATAGCGGTTAGGTTCCGAGGCACTCTGTGGACACCGGAGGATGGTAGATTTCTCCACCCTTTGTATTTTTTGAATGTGTGAAATCTTCTTGCCATCCATCATTTTAGCCTGTACACATTTCTAGAGAACCTCCTGTGTGTCAGACACCATCCTCAGCTCAGCCTCCGTGGTCCATGAATCAGCAGGTCACAGGAGGTGACTGCAACTTCTTGACACTGCAAAATTTCCAAATCATCCACAGACTGGAGGGCTGCACCTCGCCTTGCCTTGCCAGCCCCAAGAAGGAGGATGCTAAGCAGAGATAAAGGGCTTTTCCACCCTCCTTTTTCATCTTGTAAGTCTCACTCCCCTTTTGGGTGTACATTTGGTATATTTTGCACAGTGATTCAATGTCACTGGCCGTTGTTCACTGCAAGGGAGCTGAACAAATGAAAATCCATCTCTTCATTTCATCAGTTGCTGAGCTCTGTAGCTGGGCCAGGCACCCTGTTGAAGGTATTGGGGATGAGAAGAGGAAGCAGGAACTCCTTTTCTATAGGAGTTCAAGTTCTCATAGGAGATCACTTAGCATCACCTTTGCACAGTTACATCCATTGCACCACGAGAGATGTATGTACAATGTAAGATAGACTGTAGAAGAGGAAGTACGTAATGCTAGGTTAAGGGGATGGAAGATTTAGCAATATTCCACTTTTGCAAGAAGAGTGAAAACGTAAAATATAGGAAAGGGATACCTGTATTTTGGCCTCACCACATTTAGTGCATTAACATGTTTTTGTCATTCTTTGCCTTCCCCAAAGAAGTACTTTAATGAGGTTCTATTCTGAAGGGGAGCAGAATTGAGGTTGGAGAACTGAATACCTATGTAAGTAGCAAACCCACCCCAAGGTTTCTGTTTTCATATTATACAGCTTATAAAGGAGACACTAATATGTAGACATTAGGATTTATTTTATTCCTTTCCCTAGTGATTATATTGATAGTGAACTATCTTTGTCTGAGTACCCCAGCAATATAGCTGTAGGCGCCATGAAAATGCATAGATGGATGTCTACCAGTTCGATTAAGAGGTCTTAACCCAGCCTTCTGTATGCAAACTCTGTCTATTTTAGTTTTAAATTTCTGCTCATAAATTTTTTAAAAACCCAAAGAAATACTGCTTTTCAAGGTTGGGTTGAAGTCTAAGGTTCCTTAAACAAAAAGCAAATCCCTAGATGGGAAAAAATTGATAACTCTAATGCACTTCCTCACAATAGCATTTCCAACTCCATCATTTAAACACACTCTTAAGTAATGTTCTCTTCATTGGAGAACACAAATCTTCCGACTTTTAACCAGCAGCAAACTCACTGCTGTGGGCAGGGCTCAGATTTAAGAGGGACATCCAATTTCTAGGTCGTTGGGTTCGTTTTCGAGGGCCTTTAATAATTTCAGGTGGGAGGACTCAAGCAACTGCATGATAATTGTCCAGAACAGACATAAAGTTACCTTGGCTTCTGACAAGTCTCTGGGAAGTATATAAAAGAGAAGAGTAATTAATTGTTAACCTTCTTGATAGTATTTTAACACAAATGCTTAAGAAAGAGATCTTTCATTTCTGTCAACTTTGTATGCATAGAAATGAATTTGTGATCCTGGTCATCAGGTTGATCCCACTCTTACTGGCATCAGTGACTTTTTGCAATACCAGAAAAGAAACTGCCCATGTGTTCTCCTCGTAGAAAGCACCAGGACTGGATGCTTTCACTCCTTCCTTAGTTCTGAAAGGAAACGGTATTAAACAGCCCAGGGTAGAAAATAATTATGGAAGTTTTTAGATTGCTCAGATTTTCTTTAGAGCTTTAGTTTTGCCTGTCCCTTTCTGGGATGGGCTATTATCTTAGTATAGCAGACCTGGGGTGGATAGCAGTGTCTCTCCAGGTTTTGAATAAAACTGAGAAATTGCACTCCGCTTTCACTTTGGCTACATGCCTCTTCTGTGTTTGCATCTGAGCCTTCGAGAGAGCGCCGCAACCCCTTTCAGACAACTCTGAGCATTTTCTTGTCTCTTAGTCCTTTGCTGCTGCCTTGCTTGTTTTCCTGTGGCTTAGAATTTTAAACTAACTTTGAGCATATATAATATTCATCATTTATTGAGGTTCATCTTTTCTATAACTATGTTTCATTTCTCTAAAGGTAGGGTGACAAACCAAATATAAGTAAAAAATAAAAAGAAAAAAGTTCACTTTCAGATTAAAAAAATGGGGATCTATCTTTATCCCTTTTGATTTAATATTGATGGGTAAATATCAGAAAAGTCATTAGCTATTTTATATAGAAATTAATTGAGAGAAAATGTGTTTTCCATTCGTTCACAGGGCAGCAATTAATCATAAAGATACTGTACCCACAAGTAGAATGTCAGCGGCGCCTTTAAAGTAGAGAGTTATATTTGCTAGTATTAGTCCAGAGAAAATGTTATGTTTGGCAAAATTTTGGGTACCTGTTCTGGGATATGATCAAGAAGAATTTTGACTTCTCCTAAAATGAAATTAGATACTTTGCTTTAATTTTAAGTGTAGAGATTAATAGTTTAAGATTTTTTGGAATAAAAATAATGGAGGACAGTGTCTCTAAAACATGCCGAATTACTTCTCAAAATATTTAATTTGTAAATTTGAATGACAAAATTGTAGGATCTGTCCTTAGAAAAAGAGAAAGTAATTATGCTGTACTTTTAAATCATCTGCTCTAAGTGTAATATTAATTTATGTAGTTAAAATTTCAAATATGACCTCGATATAAATTTATTTGCATTTTGAATTTTAGTACAGGTTTTGTATTTAATTTTACAGTTCATTCTGAAGGATTCTTCTGAAGGTTTTTGATACGTCATGATTTTTATTTGAGTGTTCACCTTAGTAATTGTTACAAGATGATAAAAGCCGTTGGCTTTGCAGGACTTAAACAAAAATTCACCATTTTGCAACTTTTGTTATTTGAACCTTTGAATCAACAATATTTTTGTCCTAGTCACCAGGTTAAGATTATCTGAAAATTCTAAAGTATGTTCTTTATAGTACTTACCTATAATTAAAATCTTAATTTGCTTAAAAGCAGGTAGTCCTTTTAAGTAACAAGTAGCATTTCCAGACCTCCAGTCACCAGCAGGGCTACTTCTTAGTACAGTATCACCAAGAAAGAGCAGGATGACCTGTGACTCCATTCAATAGAGTGATACTTTCCATTTCATCCTGCTTAAGTCTCACGAACTCTTGATCTTGCGTTGAACTTCTTGCTGAAATGTGGTCAGATTTCAGATCGCTAATTCAACCTTGTGAACTCAAAGTAAAGTTTGGATCCTGCCTTTCCACAGGTACTTTTTTTTTTTTTTTTAAGAACTTGTGTTTATTAGGTTGCTTTTAAGTGCTGTCTCAGAAAATGCTTTATTCCCTTTGAAGCATTTTGTGTGATTTTTCTCACCTCAAAAATAAATCACAAATATACTTGCTTCCAATTCTGCGAAATTCTTTTGATCATTGTTAATGTTACCTAATTTTAAAATTAAATGTTTTATTTTAAATTATCCTAAAATTAAATTAAATTAAAATTTGATTTCATGGTGTTAATTTTTTAGTTCAAAAGTCATTGTGTTTTAAAAAGAAGGAATCAATTTAATTCTGTAAAGGTGTACAAGAACCTATTTTCGGTAGCAAATCAATTTGGCATCTCCAAAATCCATCCATGCAGCAGGAAAACAGTACTTACTCAGTAGAGGACATGTGAACTTTCAGAGAGCCTCTCTGAGCTACTCGGTTATTTCAGGTACCTGTGCTAGAGGATTAGAACTCTGGTGTTGGATGCTCGTAGTCTGCGTAGTCTGTTGCTGCAACACAGAACTAAATATCAACAGAGCTTGCTACTGTTGTTTGGGCTGCTTTTATATACCAGCTTCAAAATATGTTTTGACACTTTATTACGTTCTGAATCAAGCTTCAGATGTGTGTAATGAAGGATGAAGTCTTTATCAGACTCCAGTGTATAAATAATGAAGATGAGAAGTTTGGAAATGGTCTTTCTAGAAGAGAATGGTTTCTGAAGGAACTTCAATTTCTGATCTGTCATAAAACAAAGTACTAGAGGTGCAAACAGAACAGCGCACTCTCTCTAAAGGCACAGGGACTGTCCTTCTGCCCCCCGCTTTTTTTCCCTTCCCATCTTTTCTTTTTTCACTCATCCTGTCATTTCTCTAACGTTCTCATTCCTAGTTTATAGGCCTGAACCTTGTGAGAAAGTCTGGCACCTCTGATCCACTTTCCCTCACAGACCCTGTAATTTTTGGCTGTATTTTTATGTTTTTCAGATTCAAGTCAGTCTGAAAGTCCCAGCCAGCCAAGTGACTCTGACATTAAGGACCAGCCAGAAAACGGTAAGTTTAGCGTGGGACTCTGGCTGCTGTATTAGTGCCCACAGGAGCCAGTAGCCAATGCAGCGTGAAGATTTCGGGGTCCGCCTTATGGGTGACCCACATAGAAATGACTCTGAGGACTGATTCAAAGAGAAAGCTTGCGTTTAGGAGGGCACACTCTTTGTTCTCTGGATCACCCAGCAGGCCCATCCCACCCCGAACACTGTCAGCGCCCTGAAAACCTTAATTCCCAAGGAAGTGTATAACCTAACGAAACCATGAGAGGCACAGTTCATTTTCTAGGTCAGATTCTTTTCCTGATATCCTCCACTAAAATTCCAAAATGTGTTTCTTACCTCTGTAATATTTAATAGGTTACGTGACCTCTCGGGGTATCGATTTGATTCTCTAAAATGGAGTAATAGTACCTGCCTGCGGAAGACTTAAATAAGGTGTGTGCTGAATGTATTTAGCACACTGTCTCTCATAGAGTTTGTACAAAATAAAAATGCTGGCAGTGAGTCAGTATTATTCTTTACATTTTTCTTGTCCATAAATAGGTACCATACTTTGTTTTTCACTTACTTTGAGTGACCTTGTTCTGTGGGTCTCCTTTTTGTTTTACATTTTTACATTTTGATCTCCATCCTATCTTTTGGAAAAGATAGGTGAACAGAGTAACATTGGTACTATGGGTTTGAAGATTTAGCTTGCCACATTAGCTATCCTATCACTCATTTTTCAGAATATATTTCATTTCCTAAGCCTGGGAAGTCTTTGTTACATTGCTGGCCTCTGGCATCAACTGTGAACTGACTAGTCCCCTCCTCATCCTGGTATGTTGGTGATATTTTCTTTATCAAAGTTTTTTTTTTTTTTAAAGCAGGCAGTTAAGAAAAAGTGGGGGAGACCTCTAAAGGTTTGTTTTCAGTGTCATAGACAGCTACACATTATTTTTTGTTGACATTCAAAAGAATGATATTTATAGACTAGCTTCATTCCTTATTTTCCACTTGACTTACGGGTAAGCCTTAAATATTTCATTTTTTTTGTATACTATATTTGTACATAATCTCCCTGAAGATGCATTCAGAGCTATTCATTTTATTTTCATTTACAGAATTTTGTTAGGCTGTAGGGGTGTACAGTTCGCATACTTGGGTCTGGCTGCCCCTCTAGCAGGCCTGCGATTCATCTGTCTTCATAAAATGGCCGACAAGCTGTTCACATGCAAATATAAATTGAGAGCAGGAGAGGCCTGGCATGCCTTTCTGGAGCTGCCTGCAATACCGATATTGTGTGTTTCTATTCCAAAAAGCACTGGGGATTGAGCCTGTTTTTTTCGGCCAAAGGCGTGGTGATACCAGCCAAGTTTGCTTTTAACCCCTGATTACTTGGTGCTACCTCGAGGATTCGCAGTACCATTTTGGGGTGAGATGGTGTGAGTTCAAAGAAAGCAAGTATTCAAGTATCAGAGATAAGTTACAAATCCCTACCTTTCCAATTTCTACTCATTTCCAAGAGAAAGAAGTAGAAGCTGCTTTGCCTTAGACCATCCCAATTGAAGGAATGTCAGCATACTCAGTTCCCTCTATCTGCCCTATGTCTACTTCTGATGAAGTAGTAGAGGGAAAATATCTCTTCCTAAAGACATAGAATCCCTAGTGGAAATAAATGAAGATGTCAGGACAAGTTATTTACATATGCCAGGTAACTTCCTGCTTCCGATGTGGCTTTGGTCAAGCACATATTCTCTGGTCTTCATTACCTCAGGTTATGAACAGGAGTTTCTGAAATGTGTCTGTGTTTGTTCTTGCTTTGTTTTGAAAGAGAGAATTCTCATAGATGCATCAACAAAGCTCTGTGATGCTTTGGAATCTCACTATATGAAGATGTAACAAACTCTGTTCAAATGAAGTGGGAACCCATTATTCCTGTATCACTACATGTATGCAAGGGGAAAGTAATCTTTTTAACCTAGCTTTTGAGAAGGTAATGGGAAACGAATGGTATTTCCCTAGTAAACCATGGAGAATGAATAGACAAATGGTAACATGCTGTTTGATCCAAAACTGTAAACTAGGCCATGTAACTTTACCTAAAGTGGATGCAGCTGTTTCTTCCCTGTCCAGCTAGTCTGTTTTTTTCCTGTGGAATTTTTGCTTTCTTTACTTATACTCCCTTAAGACTCAACTGTAAAAGAAAACAAATCTTTGTCCAATTAGAGCATTAGATGAGCATTTTGAAGGAATTATCTGAAGCCCAGAGATAAAATACCAGAATCTCTGAAAGTCAAAATTGGTGTAATAATGATTAAAAACTGTCTCTGGAGTCAGACTGATCTGTGTTCAAATTAAATAAGTAGCTATGTGACTGAGTGAGCTTTTGCTCCAATCTCAGTTTTCTTTTTCGTAAAATAGATATACTAAAAGAACCTGCCTAATGAGTATTGAAATGAGAATTTGCATAGGAAGTAGCTTAATGCCTTCTTCATAGTAAGGGCCCAAAGGTAACCATGACTGCTCTCCAGTTAAGGCTTGTCATAAATATAATGAGAACATATATTCAAGAAGTCCAAAGCTGGGAGCCTTGGAGTTGAAGGGATGGTGTCAGAAACAAACCAAGACTTCTGGGGACATCTTCTATGAACAAGTACTGTGCTCTAAAATATCAGGCATAAATTTTCTTCTTAAATTCCACATCCCCCGCAGCGCCACATCTACTTTACTGTAGTTCTAGTATCATGTTCTTTTCATCTCCCTTGAGTTTGAGAACCAGCTAACTGCAGAAGTGATTCAGAGTTGTTGGAAACTTCAGAGTGTATGCTCAGGGGGAAGGAGGTTCTAGTAAGAAGGAACATTGTCTAGATGTCTTTAATATTAGCTGAGTTTTTCCTTGACACAAACCAAAGAGGAAAAAGCTATATACAGATACACAGGCATAAATACCCAGGTATGATAGTGGTGCCTGGAAGCCAAAGTGAGAGGCAAGGTACTAATGGCCATAGTAGACCAATATCCCCCGCGCCATGATCAGGTAGTGGTCTGAGTATGAGCACTGTCATATTAGCTTATGCTTGATTATCATAGGGAATGCAATTCAAATAAAGTTTCCAGCTACAATGGGAATCAGTCATTTAATCCTTGTACATGTCGTGGAAGCCTCTTCTCTAGCTTTTCAACTGCCTTATTTGTTGGACTTTGACTTAGAACATCTAGTCAACCTACCTTTGTGAATTCCCATGATGTCCTTTGGCTACTGTTAAAAGCATTTGAGGGATATAACATCTGAAGTGTCTGTTTGATATTAGAGGCCTGTGAACAGTCCTTCAAAGCTTGCATACTGTGGTGCCCCAGGTCAATCATCAATGAGGGAAAAGCTCCTGAGATAGCTTTCCTACTGAATTCAAGGCACGCTTCTGTAGGGCCACATTGAATCAGTATCTGAGGAAACAGCACAGGCCAACACCAATGCTCTGAAAACACATTACCCCTCGGTGTTTCACCAGCGTCAGTGAGAGCACCCTGAACTAAAAAAAGAAAGAGTAAGATTACTTAGCCAGAAAAGGAAAAGTTATGTTCACATGTTTTGTTTTGTTTTGTTTTTCTGTTTACTATCTCTCATTATCTGCATACAAGCTGAAAACAACTTCATTTTAGTGGTTTTTAAATTGTGATGTTGATATGAAGAAATCAGAGTTGGTATTGCAATTACTTTCTTTGGGTTTAATCATGCTTGTTCCTCCTCATCTGTCTGGTAGCTGCACATATGTTGGTGGCATCAACCCTCAGATGGTCCTTTGCATTCAGTGGAAAGCCATTAATCATGATGCTTGTCCCAGATTTTGAAAATTTCCAACTCTGCCTGACAATTTGAAAATCAACCTGGGGTATTGGTTGAACCCAGCTTTCATGTTCACTATCTTTATTTATTCCATTCCCATCTTGAATTGTTAAACGAGGCATCAGTATTAAGTGTTGCTAGATGAACAAACAAACCACTTGTCTTCAATCATGATTGTCAGTATTTCATTAGTTACCATTTAACACATATCTGTGCATATTTTAATGTTTACAAAATAACTTGCAAGGCTACTGACTTCCTAACTAAAAATTTATACCTAGAATTCCCTTTGTAATCTAGGGGTGAGATAAGAAAACTATAAACTTCTGTTTCTCTTTTGGATAAACATTCTTTTATCTGATAATATGTTCTTAATAAATCATAGGCTCTTGCTTAATGTTTTAACTTTTACTGCCTCATATATATATTAGACATATTACAATATTAATAATAGTGGAAAGAAAAATAAAATTGTTAATTCTAAACTGAAAGAATTGTCAATGCTGGGTGGACTTCTTGTTTTAGGAGCTGTTTTGATCAATGTGTCATTTAGTTGGGTCATTTTAAGAATTTTGAAGGCAATTCAGCCTACAGTTTGCATTTTATTGGGGAAGCAGGAGCATTCTAGCACCATTGACTTGTAAATACATTCTATCAATATTTCATAATTTGCATGCCTTTCTTTTACAATTACTTAGCAACAGTTATTCTCTGCAGTGTTCTTTCAAAAAGCCCTGTAGGGACAGACACAGTAGAGTGACCACCAAAATAGCAGCAATAACAGTAATGATCAATATTCTAAAATATGTAAAGGTCCCAACTCAGGGAGACATTAAAACCTAAATGCCTTCTGGTTTCCTGCTCAGTATAATTAAATTCTGACTGATGAATTTTCAGCAATGTGATGGAGCCAGTCTCTTCCACGTCTCCTTTTTAACAGACCAGGGAGCTAGAATGTAGCTTGCTTGATCTGATGTTTCAGTTTGAAACTAAGTGAATTCTGCTTTCTCAAGTACTGTTAGCAGATGTGACCTATCATTGTTTGCAGAGGCTCCTTAGAAATGCCTCCAGACTTCTTGGGTCTTGCCTTGTGAAAGATGAGGTACAGGTGAGGTTGGGGGCTGCCCCCCTCCGCCCCCACAATGCATCATGTACTGTGCTTATACAGAATCCATTGT